TATATCTGTCCTCTGTATCTCTCTGCTTTCCCCATCTCTCCCCTAACTTTTACACATTGTAACCTGTTGTTCAGTTTCTGCCAAATTTGCTAAATTTCTGTAAATTTCAGAAAAACAGGTGACTGGAAGCAGAGGAAAAGATTTTTATCAGGGCCTCTGTTGTGGAATAAGTTTGCAGTGGGAGACTACCCATTGGTAAACAAAAGAATTCATGCTTGAATTCATTCCTGAGCTATAAATACAGGCTTTATTAATTTTGCTGCTCTCAAGACTGTTTTTGTGATTATGTTCTTATTATGACCTTTTTTCTCCCTTGACACCAAGTGTCGTGACAATATATACTACTTTCATTTAATTACAGGCACGTGGGTGGCAGAAAAGAAGGGTACATGTGACTTCACATAATTTAGCAGCTTGAGCAAATTATTGTTTATATTTCACTCCTTTCACTGAATTATTAATCCTCTGTCTTCTGGAAATACATTAGGATGATCATCGCCATCTCAACCAATTCATTGCCCATGCTGCTCTTGACCTAGTAGATGAGAACATGTGGCTTTCAAACAACATGTACCTGAAGACTGTGGACAAGTTTAATGAATGGTTTGTTTCTGCTTTTGTCACAGCTGGACATATCCTTCCCTCTTCTCTTTCCTTGTATTTATATAGGAAAAACCTTTTGCCAGAAAGGGTTAAGTTAGATGAAATGAGTTTGGAACAAATTTATCTGGTTATTCACCACTTTTATTGTTAGAGAAACTGACTTCAGAATGAGGCAAGTTGGGAGGCACAACAGGTGTTGGAGATTGGGACCCATTGGAAAGATGGATTTTTTTCATTTTGGAGGAGCTGAAATAGCCTAACAAAATGTGGAGCTCACATGGACAGAAGAAGGAGGAATGAGAGGGGAGTAATAATGAGATGGTCTGAGCAAGCTTATGAGATTCTCTGTTCCCATCCCTTTGATAGGGCTAGAGAGGAGAAGCAGGGATAAACGTGCTTGGTGTCAATCACACCCATCTTCAAAATGTGGTGTCAAGTCTTTAACTTCTATACAGGTAGTCCTAGAAGTGTTTGTCATGAAACATTCATTATACATTGAAAGTAACATTGAATGTCATTTTAACTTCAGGGGCATGTGGCAAAGGTGCTGAGAGCATCATCCACATTCAGAATTGTCTAGCTTTAGAAAGAATAACCTTGAATAGGGAGGTGATTGGGTTTATTTTCAAATAGGGGAATGTTTTCTAAATTTTACTGCTCCAGTTGCTTCTTTTAATGTTTCTTCTCACAGTCACTGCTGTTTCATGTACAGCTAGACATTTTAAGTATATGCAGAATAAGTATAAGTGCTCATCTCAGGATATGTGAAATGTCTCTCTCCTTTGCAAAAGTTAAATTTTCCTTAATTGCTTTACATATGAGATTTATAATGCTTCATGATGTAAGGCAAGAAGATGGAATCAAGAACTTCTTCAATGACGTATATGACTTGTATATAAAGGTAAGAACCCGCTTCTTGTGGTCTCGCTGCAGTACTTTTAAGGGTGTTCTGCTGGACCTGCTCAGGCATCCCTGTAGGAGCA